TGACTGCTAAAGTTAAAAAAAATAAAATAAAATAAAATAAAATAAAATAAAATAGTTGTTAAGATATTTAAGCTTAAAGTTATAAAAACTTTTATTTAGAAAAAATTTGTTTCTTTTCTATTGACTTCTCATATCTGATAATATTGAAAAGTTTGATATATAGCTATATATATATATATATATTAGATATTAAAATTAACTTAAAGAGATATAGCAACCTAGTAAAGTAGTCAAGTTGTCAACCCTCCAAGTGGTAGGTTGGGTGTTCAAATCCCATCAATAATGAAAATTTGAATAATTACCTTTATAATATTTGTATTACAGTAACTGTTACTAACGATTGGGTTAAGATACTTGTAATAATAGTCACATCAGTATAACTGACAGGTTATATAACATCTGTGCAATGTTGAAGTTATACAAAAGAATACAAACTGACAAATTGGATGGTGCAAATACTAAATAAGTTCTTATGATCATATAAATCTATTAAAATTGAATAACAAAAAGTTCATTTGGAAAGACTCAAATAAAGAGATAGCTAGATCTTTGATGGCCCTACTGTAAAAGCTAGCCTGAAGAAACAGATACTAAGGTTTAATACCTGGTTATAGTAGTTAGATAGGCAAGAATCTTTGGGTTGGGAGTCTTGGAAGTACTACCAACTAGGCCACTGTAATAAACCAAAAAAATGAATATCAGGCTGACCTAATATACTGATAGACTGGTCATAGTCCTATACAGGCTATCTGAATTGGGAGTTTGATAAAAAGACAGAAGAAAAAGCAAGGATATAATAAAGTACTAGGGTTATACTATAAAGTAGATGCTGGAGTCTAAGTGAACTCTATAAAGGCATAGCAGTTTAATAGTTAGCCCTGATCACAAGTGTTGGTTCTGCTATAGCAATACCTAGGTCAGCTGTAAAAATAGATACAGAAGGCTCTAAAGAGTTTACCTTGAGGATAAATAAGTTCTAAGGTTAAGATGATGATCTGGGCATCTAAGTATGACTCAGTGAGTTAACACAGATTACAGATTCAAAGGATTTAAAGTGAAACATTCAAGCAGAGGTGTTAGGTATCAATTGGTGAGAAACCTTTGAGCAGACTTCTTAAATAGATAATATAGAAAAGTTACATATGTAGCCAATTGTACACTCTTCTGTAGTAGTTCATTGAACTACAATACCAATAAGTAATTAATAAAAATCAAAAGACCAAAGAGGTCACCTCAACATTAAAAAAAAAAAAAAAATTAACTTAATATAATGATATATGTTTATTAGAGTTAAAGATATAAGAAATTTTTATACATGTCTGCTAAATACATCTTTAGTTTTCTAATTAGGATACTGCCAAATAACAACAAAATACAGACTTTAAATGATACTACTATATGATTAAAAACAGTATAATTTATTATTCTAGTCTGATTGGTTAAAATTCTATATTCTGTTGTCTATAGAAATCTATTTTTAAAATATTAGATTTTCATTTGGTGGTATCTATTTAAAATATGCCTTATAGAAATGTTCTAAAATTTTTGTATAATTTTTTTTATATATATAAATTTTTTGAAAAAGGTCATGTCTTAGGACATTATGCCTTTAATCTTAATTTATTAAGTTATCTTTAAAAAATTTATATAATTTTCTTGTGCAATTTTTCAATGATGTTATGATGATATTAAAGAAATTAAGAACTTTAATGCTTTATTAATCTTTTCTATTATAGCATTAAGTTTTTGATACTAATTTTGAAGTTCTGAACAAGATATTACTAAAATATTTTTAATAATTTTATGAATTTGAGGTTTTAAATTTAATAAAGTTTCTTTGTATGATATTTTTATTAATTTATAAATTGGATAGTATTTAGATAACCAAATTGGTGCAAACTAATATCTTGTTGCATTTCATAATAAAGGTTAGTTGATTCTAACTCTAATGTGAAAGTTAATAATAGCCTAAAGATAAGTAAAAATTTATTTTAAATGCATTTATTTAGATTATATTTTATATTATTTCATATTACAAATTAAAATTAAAATATATTTAACCTGTTTAAATTTTAATTTATATATTTTATTAGTTTGCTCTTTGGCCTATTCCAAATATTCATTTGATGTTATATTATTATAACTTTAGACATATAGCTATATTAATTCTAATATTATTAAATAATAATATATGTTATATATTGAATCTCATACTTTATAATAATCAGCATATTTTTAAAAAATACTAATTAATTATCTGATTAATATTCTTGGCATTAGGCAAATGCTTTTATATCTATTTTTCTTAAAAATTAAAAATTATAAGTAAACTATTAAATTAACAAATTAAAATATTCAAATTTAATTTATACCAATTTAGATTAACAAATGCTTTAAGCATATTTATTTCTTCATATAAAGCATCTGAAAATAAAATCAGTCAAGAAAACTTTTGTTTTAATTTTAGTGCTTAATTATACAGTATGCTATCATATACAATAGATATTTATTTACATTTTTCAAACTTAATTTTAGCAATTATTTCAACATATTTTAAAACTTTTTAAATATTTATTAAAAATTTAGAATTAATAGAAATTAGATCAGAAACATATAGATCTGGAATTTTTATTTCTTGATCTGCTATGATTCTTTGTGTTATACTAATTTTAGATTTTTGTAATTCAATACTAAATTGTTTAGAATTATAAGATCTAAATATTATTGTTTTATTTGTTTTTTTTTTTTTTTTACTGTTAAGGTGAGGTCATGCTCTTAAATTTTTATTAGCATATTGGTTATAGCTAATATAATTTTTATTATACATATCTATTACTACATATCTATTTAAACATAAGATTTAGATGTTTTTATTTATAATTTAAAAGTATCAGAGCTTTGTATTATGTCTCATTTACATCTAACTTGGATTTTTGTTTTACTACTAATTATATTAAATAACCTGCATATTTCTCTTATATCTTATAACCTATTTTTCACAACTCTTAAATTAGTTTATCAGGTCATTTGCTTCTTTTAAGCTTCAATTTTTGGTTTGCCCAAAGGATGCCTCTTTAGCATATATTTCAAGTCAGATTCCTGCTGCTACTGCTAACTTCCCAATTCAGATACTGGTAGCACATATTTCAAGCCAAGTATCTGCTGCTGCTGGTGGTTTGCAACTCTTCTTGATCTTAACATTATTCAAACAGATTGTACATCTAAACTGCCTCTTAAGTACTCTTTTTTATAGTATAGATAGAGCTATGTTTTAGAAATAGTACTTCTATTTTCTTTTAGTCATTGGCTAATATTCACTTTCTACTTGAACACATAAGAACTTATTTTGTGTTTGCATTATCCAAAGCTGGTTTGCATCCCTTTGTATACACTAACTTGCACAGATATCTGTATAAATCTGCATTCCTACAGATGCTCTGTGCTTATTTACAAAGGTTATTTCCAATTTAAGTAACTTAACTTTGATTAATACAGCATTTATATTAGTATGTTCTACTTGTTTTGCTATAGACTTCTATATAGATGTGATCAAAGCTCTGGTTTGGTACCTTTAGATATACAAAACAGGCTACAACTTCTTTATATGTACAGCTACCTTCTATTTTGATCATTCCACAGTGCCAAAGATGCTTCCAATCTTGATAAGACTAATTCTTTGTTACAGACCTTCTATACATGCACCACTTTTCTTATTACTCCAGTGTATGTTACCTTGGTATTATTCTTCCAATTAAGTACTTCTTAAGTTAAATATAAAAATGTTAATACTGTCCTGTCTCCAGAGAACTTATATGCATAATACTTTGTATAACAGAACCTTTTGTGATGCCTTTGTTACCCATAGTACTCACATTCTGCAAAGTTGGTCTCTTTTTAGGAATTTTTTTTTTTATCATGTACTGCACTTGGACTTGACTATAGAGCTTTATGTTTAATTACAAGCTTCTTATAGGTTACAAAGACTAAAATCTTTTGATTTTGCTTCTAGCCAAACTTGAATCATTGACTTTGACTATGGGATATAAGAGCTTAACAATTAAGCTATAAGACATACATCTCTATTGTTTTATTTGTATTTTTAAATAATTTCATTTGTGAACAGACAATTCTTTATTTATCAAAGTAAGTATTAATAGCTTAATATTACATTTAGGACAATTTTGTTTTTTGTTATCAATTTCTAACTTAGAACAACTTAAATATTTTTTAATTTTATTAGATAAACTTTTTTGTTTTTTATCTAGTTTATCTATTCTTAATTTTTCTTAGAATGTAATCTATTTATAATTTTATTTAGAAAACAATGAAGCTTTAATTTAAGTATTTTTTTCATAGATTTACTTAAATTGAATAGTTAATTAATATTATTTTTGAAAAGTAAATTATTTTTCTATAAATTAATTTTTAATTGACTATTATTATTCAAATTGAAATTAAATACTACAAAGCTAGTTATACTATAAAATATGAATATGACTGTATTATTGTCTTAATTTAAATAATTTTTTGACCTTTTTTGTTTATTATTAAAGGCCAAAATTAGAAGTTCATCTGGCAAAGATTTGGGCTTGATTGCTAAACTTTCAATTCAATTAATAAATTTTGTATAGCCTCTTCTACTAGTAATATGGCTATTAATGTTTATTATAATTTTTAACTAAGCAATACTATATTTAATTGCAGATGCAGCAAAATTTATTTTAAAAACATACTTGCTGTATTATAGTTTATAAATTGCATTAACAGCAACTATACAGTTAAAATTTTTTTTTGATATAATTGTTTATCATCATTGTTTGTAAGTATTTTAATAAATTTTATTATTACAGAATTATAATATTTAAGTCAATTTAGAGAATTATATACTAATAAATTTTCTAAAAAAAAAATTAATTACAATTATTAATTAAGTAGATAATATTATTATATAAAAACCTCTATTCTAATGAGGCAATTTTAGCAACTTCTGCTATTTATTTTTATTGAGTATTGTAGCTTTTATTACATTGTTCTTTTAAATACTTATTTTCACTTTCTAATTTATTTTTTTTATTTACTAATACTTTTATTTGATTTTTATATAAATCTAAACTTTTTATTTTTATATTAAGATCAGCAATTTGTTTTTTAAGATATTTGCATTTATATTCTAATTCAAAAATTTTATTATTTTTAATTTCAATAATTTGTACTTGTTTAGAATACTTAGTTACAAGAGTGTTAAGAGAATTTTTTAAAGTATTAATTTGCATTAAAAGATCATTGTTACTATTTATTTCTACTTGAATTCCAATATCAACAGCTGTTAAAGGTTCTATCTGTATATTCAAAGTATTAAAATTGTGACTTCACTTTTGTGAATAAGACAATAATTTGCTTTTTAAGTAATTTAAATAATTATCTTTCACAATAATTTGATTATAGTGCTTTTTACAAATTGTATATTTTTTATTTTATTTTGTAAGGTATTTAATTTGACAAAATAAAACTTAAATAGTTTAATTCAGGTTCTAATAACATTTGTAGATGCATTTTAAATTTGATTCCTCTTCTTAGTTTCATATTTACTTAATTTTTTATGTCCATAAGCACCAACAAGTGTAAAAAACAAACAAGGCTTAAGTGGGTCTTTAGTTTTAGCTTTAATTCAATTTCAATTTTAATTTTTTAAAATATAATAAATATATAAGTAATAATTTAAATTATAAGACTAACTTACAAATCTTATACTACTATTTATTTTTCAATGTTTAGTATCAAGAACAAAAATTTAATACAGATTTTAAATATAAACAAAGAAACAACTAATAATAAGGAATTTAAGACAACTTGCCAAAGACATGATATAGTAATTTAGTAAAAATAATATATATAGTTTTATTTATAAGGTTTTTATTATTTAACCCAAAGGTTTTTACTTTTACAATAACAAAAATACAGTGCTTTTATAACTTTTTTTACTTTAAGAGGCACAAGGGCTTTTATTTATTAATTTTTTTTCTATTTATAGCCAAAACTTGTAAAAACTAAGCAAGTTCTTTTTAAATAATAAGGTTTTCTTTTTTTGAATCTTTATACAAAACTCTTTTTTCTATACTGCCTTGTAGAGTTTTCTCTATAAATGTTTTTAATTTTGCATTTGTACTATAGCTATAGAATACTGCTTCTTTTATTTGTTAATGTATTATATATCTTCTTCTTAGCTAGGTGTTTATTTGCTACTGTGATAATTGCTTCTTTTATTATATTCTATATATTGTTTATTCTGTTTATTTGTTTTGTTTTGTTCTTTTTTTTGAATGTTTTTTTTTTTTTTTAAGCTAACTGCTTAAGAACACAGATAGTATTTTTTATTATTAATTATTGCTAATATACAAGAATATTTACAGTTTTTTTAAGCATTTAAAAAGCTTATTTTTCTTTAGATTATTACTAATATTTTTGAATAATACTTTAATTTTATTAGCTAAATGCTTAGCTACTATAGAGAAAATTATTATAGATGTATATATATTGTTTCTCTATCTTGCTGATATATAACAACATCAAATTTTATATATCATATTAATATGCAGCCAAAAAATTGCTTGTAGATGGTGTTGACCTTTAATTTTGCTAGTATCAAATATTTCTTTAATTGAAAAAGGAGGTATTTTTTGTATGCTTGTTTGTAAGAAAGTGTATGCTTTACTCCAGATCTCTTTGCTGGCCTTACAATAAATAGCAAAGTAATCAATTGTTTGTTGCTTATCTGGATACTAAGGATAGCTTCTGTCGATTGAAAGGTCTATATATTTTAAATGATAGTCTAAAAATAATGCTTTGTGAAATGTTCTCCAGAATGTGTTTATTTTTTTATTATTTATTGGTACAACAGAGAGCTAGCTGTTGTTTGTTAAAAGTATTTAAGACTGAGTTGTATTGTTCAGTAAATGTAAAGTTTTTTAGAAGTTTAAAATTTTCTTGACTGAAAATTTATTTGCTTTAAAGCCCCCTAGGCATAGATCTTTTTTGCTTCATGGCCAATTAGAAGCAGTGTTTATTTTGCTCTGAGTTTTTTTCTAAGCTAGCAAGTATGGTTTCTATTCTTTGAGCCAAGCTTTGGTTCTAATTACCTTGGTATTTAAGGCAGTATATACTGATATGTTTCTTTTAAGCTCTAATATGTCACTTATTTTTTTCTTTTTAGCTTAGCCCAGAAGTGGTTTTCTAAAAGTAGCTTAAGCCATATCAAAAGTAGTCATACCTCGAGTATTTCTTCTATTATTAGAGCTTGCAGTTCTGCAGTATTGTGTGTTTGTTATAATACTGCAAATTTTGGAAGTATTTTAGATCTGTTTTTAATTCACAGAAATATTATGCTATTGATTTCTGCAATATGCTTTTTGCTTAAAGTGAGTAAGTATGCTATATACCAGATTTGAAACAAGATCAAGGAGTTTGCTAAAAGAATTTTATCTTTGAATGAAAGATTCCTGTTTGCTAACTTTTTAAAAAAGCTTTTGAGTTTATTAATTGTGGAAGACCAAAGGTCTTTTTTTGAAAGACTATTGGGATAGACTTAATAGTTCAAAATAGTAACAGCTTTTTGTTCTAATATTGTTTTAAGATTTTCTCTACCTAATAGTTTGAGACTTTGAGCTGTATTTGTAAGTAGAATTAGTTTAGACTTGTCTTAGTTAATTTTTGCATTTGAGACTCTTTTATATAATATAAAATTTCTTTGAATAATATCCTAATCTGTTTTGAAACCAATTCTCAGTATGAGTTTATCTGCATAAGCTGAAGCTTTAAAGGCTGTATCTTTTAACTGAATTCTTGTAAGTTCTCTGTTTAGTTTTTGCAACAGAGGATCAAAGGCCAGAATGTATAAAAGAGGTAAAAGGAGGTTACCTTGTTACACTCTTCTTTTAACTCTAAAAAGAGCAGATATCTTGCCTGTGGCTGTAATGTGTGCCTCTTGATTGGTGAATAAGGTTCTAATTAGCTTTATAAATTTAAAGTTAAAGTTTATTTTCTTTAATACTTCTGAAAAATAGTTGTGATTAACATGACTAAATGCCTTCTGCTGGTCTACTAAAAGCAGCTAATTTTGTTTAGTATTGTTCTGCTCATTTCTTATAATGGTTAGGATATCTAGTGCTGTATCTGTTATGGCTTTGTTTTTTATAAAGCCTTGTTGATGGTCTGAAACTAGGTCTTTATATATTTCATTAAGCCTATTCATCAAGATTTTCATAAAAATTTTGGCATCACTGTTTACTAGAGAAATTGGTCTCCAGTTGTTGATGTTATTTAACTCTGAAGATTTCTTAGATATTAGAATAATTAGACTTTTTGTCTATAAGATGGGCATGTTGTTAGTAGATAGTGCATCATTAAAGACCTTTTGTAGAATAGGAGTAATAGTTTCTTCAAATTGTTTATAGAATTCATAGATAAGACTATTAGTTTCTAAAGATTTATTGTTCAGAAGCTTCTTAATAACTTCTGTAATCTCTTCTTTTGAGAAGGTTTTCATAAATGAAATGTTTTGTTGATCTGTGATCTGCTTAATGTTCTTCATAATTTTGTTAATGTCTTTAAAAACTACTTCTTCTTAACTGTAGATTTTAGCATATTGGTCTTTAATATATTTTAAGATATTATCTTTATTTTGTATCAATATATTAGAAATCTTTATTTTAGACAGTGCTGCATGTGTTTTTTTTATTTTGTATCTGGCAAAGAAATATTTAGTTAATTTTTTTCCTTGCTCGATTCATTTTGCTTTTGAGCATATTTGCTATTTTTCTGCTATGTCAGTAAGTTCCTTCTGCAGTTAATAAGTTAGTTATCTGTTTGTGCTTGTAAACCATTATTAGATAGATTCTTTGCTAGTCTCTTATTGAGATCTGTGATTTTTCTATTGAGTTTTATGATATTGTTTTTAGTTGTCTTGAGCTTTTTGTAGACTTGAATAATTGATTGTAGTTGAATCTTAGTAAAATCCTAATCATTGCTGTTTATTGTTTTTTGTAGCTCTTCTTTTAGGTCTTTTTCAAGCAGAGTGTTCATAAGAGTTCTTTTGTCAAATTTTCAAATTGTTGATTCACTTGAGGTTTGTTGAAAGTTGAAGACACATTTTACTAACTTGTGGTCTGAATTACCATATAAGATGTTCAGCTTTGTGGCCAAGTGTGAGTGATTCTCATCAATAAAGATGTAGTTAAGATGAGAGGCCATAGTTCTATTTCTTTAAGTTCTTTGGAAGAAGGTAAAAAGAGGAATATTTTCTGAGACTGAAGAGGTGTTTGTAAAGTTTTTAAGATTTTCTAAAAACAAAGTTTTGAAAGGTCTTTTTGGGCTGATAAAGCACTGATTCGATCTCTGTCTGGATAAATATTTGTATTGAAGTTTCCTTCAATTATATTTATTGCTTCTGGGTTTATTGTTGGAGTCCAGCGATTAAAAAAAAAAATTATATCTGATTAATTTGGTAGTGCATAAACATTTGTAATTTTGAGGGTGTGGTTTTTGTATGATGTAGTTGTTGTAATAACTCTTTTGTTTTGTTTAATTTTATTGTCTCTAAATAAAATATTTTTATTTTCTACTAGAATTGCTATTTTACTTAACCAGATTGAGTCAAAAGGCCATTGTTGCTGCAAAAATTCTTTAGTGTCTTTGTTGCTAAGATTTGTTTCTTGTAGAAAAATAATATCCAATTTATATAATTTTAATAATATTAAAGTGTTTCTTTGTTTTTGTTTGTTATTAAGCCCCTTAACATTTAGAGTTGCTGTTGTTAGTTTTGATTTAGTCATTGTTTAGATAAAGAGAAAATGTGTGTATTCTTAAAAGTCTTGTTTCTATTTAGGATTCTGATTTTCAAATAGGGTTTGTCTTCTTCTTGCTTTTTGTAAGAGCTTTTTTTAACTTTTTTTACTTATTGGTAACTAAAATAAATTCTGCTTCTTTTTTCTCAATATCAAGAGAAGAGGTAGTTTGATGTATTACCAATTGGCTTTCAGCTTGTTGTTGTTGATTAGGAGTGACCAAATTATCTTTATTTATATCTGACAGAACTTCTTGTTAGTTTAGAAGTTCATTGTTATTTATTTTTGAATCTGGTTGGTTGCTAGCTCAAGCAAAAGATTCTTCATTAAATTGTAAAATAGTAACTATGATAACTTCACATTCTTGAGTAACTGGATTCTCTTTTCAAAGAGTTGTCTTATTTGGTAATTTGTTTTGTATATTGGAAATTTCTAAAACATTATGTAAGGGTTTTATAACTCTTTTAGTTTTGTTTTCTTGATATTTCTTGAATTGTTGTCTGAGTTTTACAGTCTCTTTGAATTGGTCATAGTCTTTTTTTAGGTGTTCTTTCTTGTCACAAAAGAAGCAGACCTTAGAAGCTGACTTTTATTCAGTTGTAACTTTGTTATTCCATAGAAAGATATAGCATAGGATTCTGGCTTCAAGTTCTGAATCATCAGTTGTCTCAAAGATTATAATCCATTGGTCAGTTGCATAAAGAGTTTCTTCGATAAGAAGTGGTTTAATAGCTGTAATTTTCCCAAAGTTTTCAAAAGTCTTCAAAATTGCTTTTGAGACTCATTCTTTGTTATTCAGTAATATATTTTTGATCTTAACTAAAAGGAATGATTTTCTATTATCTGTAGAAATAAATCCATAATAGGTTTGATTAAAGATTACTATGCTCTTGCTGGCATAATGTTTAAGTCATTTATTATTAGCAAATGCTAGTTTTAAGTATGTTTTGTCACCTTTGGTAAAGTGCTGTTTTGCAGCAACTACATTCTGTCCTATATGTTCATATAGAGAAATCATGATTTC